TTCAAGGTTCTCATTAAGTGCTGGCAACTGGCTAAAAAATAAGCTACTTCAAACTTTGAGCTGCCTACTCTTTGCGGAAAAAGGGTACGTTGAGACACAAAGCGCCTGAAATTGCCTTCAGCACTCGATTGCCAAGCTCCATACTTTCCTAGACATCTAATTCAAAACTTGAGAACCCTACAGCTAGAACAAAGCACTAAAACAACAAAATTGTAGGTCGAAATCTTGGTTTTCTTAACTGAGTTGAGAAAATTTACCACCCAAAACGATCGAAACCTGACAGTTGGAGTGCTAACCGCTCATTAGAGTGAATTACTCTAAATGTTAGCTTTTAAAAAGTTTTATGGTGGTAAATTGACTTCAGTGGATAAAACCAAACCCACACAACACCACAATTTCTTGGGAATCTAAGAAATTATCCTTTTTTTAATAAGTGACTCCATCCGTCTACCTAGATTTTGCTACTATGATTGTGTTATGACACCTTACAGTTCTTCTACAATCATTCAAGAAGAATGGGCCAGGGTACAAATGGTATGAAAATAAAATAAATAAAATGAAAGTGCTTCTTCTTATTGTTTGGCTTTCATCAAAACTAGGATTCTTTCAGAATTCTGACTCTCAGCAGTCTTGGAAGTAAAAGGGTTATAATCTTTGAAGAATTCAGGAATTAGTTTTGTTATGGTTCAGTGTGGACTGCTGCATACCGGGCTTTACGGTCAGCACCTCTGTTTTTGTATTTCGTTACAAGCATTATAGTTAGAGCCAATGTTAGACTTAGGGCAATAAGACAAACCAATGTAAGACCAATTACCAGTCCGACAGGGACTGGCTTCTTTTCAAGTAAGACTTCTTGCAAATCAGTGCTGCCTTCATCCTGATTTAAATGCATCTTTCCCATTGGTTGCAAGATGAAGTCCTCCTTTGTGGCCAGCCCATCGTTGACTTGAATATTCTTTGTGATGGGAAAATACCCACGTTTGCTCACCTTCACCTTGTATTTACCTGGAACAAGCAATCGCCAATAGTCACCGTCCTTTGCACTTTTCACAAGATGATTGCGATCAAGGACATTTATTTCAGCTCCCTCAATCCCTAAAAAAATAATTAAAGTGACAAGAATATTACAGCAGGAAGCTACTAGTTAACATTTATGTCTTTTCATCAACAAGCTCTCCATTAGTAGTGTTCCGATCATCCATTATAAACATTTATTGGATGAGGTTTTTTTGTGATATCTGGAGTCATCAAGGTTGAGGTAAGTATTATCAGCCGAGCTGATGGCTGAGGCTGATAGCACTTAATGAGACCTTGAGTGTTCCAGATGTCACAAAAACCGAATCAAATAATTGTATTATTATACATTATTTTGAAGAAAATAATGACAAACACACCATCACACAGAACAAAGTTTGACTTTCCTCTTGGAAATCATGCATTGTGTGGGCAACCTACAGATTAGTCACTAATGTGCTAGCAGAATAAAGATAACTAACTAATCTGTAGGTTGCACTGATTTCTAAAATTAACTGTAGGTTCTCAGATATTGAAAAGACAGATAGTATTGAAACCTTTAATACTGAAATGACCCAATAATCAGAAAAGTAATTTTCAATCAATATTGTTGTGTGGAAAAAAATAGAATTTCTTGTCGGCAAATTAAAATCTTGTGTGTTGTTGTAGAAAGAGAATTCAATCGCCTGAAAGTACAAAAAAATAATATTTCTCCAAACAAGAATCAAACTCATA